CGTGGGGGTGCACTTTTGTGCAGGTCTTGAATTGGTCTCTACTCTACTCTGCTCCTTACAGATAAACATAACTGGCAGGTAAATAGTTTCTCTCCATTTCATCAAACTACTCGCTTACTCAGGCGTAATTCTTGAGCGCAGTGGCTGCCTCGGGTCTAGAAAAATGAATGCGACGCCTTCTGCAACACGGGCATTTCCGAACATGTGCAATTTATCTGGCAGAGACAAATGGATCTGGACAAACAGTGAAAACAATTATTTGTGAATATTTTATTAGAAAATATCAAAAATTCATCAAATGAATTATTCAGCTTCCACATGACTAGTCCTGCCAATGATAGGGAAGAGCCTCGCACGCTGCCCCAGGCTTCTGGGTGGGGGAGGCTTCGAGCAGTGCTGGCAGCAGGCAGCGCGGTGCTTTACAGCCTTGCTCAGGAACACTTCCTTCCATCCTGGCACTTGAACCGCACCGAGCCGGGTTGGGAAGAGTTGCCGGTTCACGGGCTAAATTGGAGACAGACCCCAGCAGTGCTGCGGGAGAGGTATTTCAGTGCCCTGGCCAAACCTGCTAACTCACAGCCAAACTCAGCAACGTTTCACAAACAGGTCTCGTGGTCTCTTCCTTCATGAATGTCTTCTGAGGGGTTTTTTTTGTTTGTTTTAGGTAAGAGTCTATGACCTCCTGCAGTATGAGCATGGGCCAGATGATGTTCTGATCCTAGCTACTGATGGACTCTGGGATGTGCTGTTAAATGAAGAAGTAGCAGAAGCTGTCACTAACTTTCTACCAAACTGTGACCCCGATGATCCCCACAGGTTTGTGCTTATCCCTGACTTTCTAGCTTCTCCGTGGAAGTAAGAGTGCTTTTTGGTAATGTAGTTTTGTAGAAAGTATGATATGAGGAAAATGCAGTAAAGATGCAGCTCTTAAAAGAAGACATTTTTATAAGTTGGATGGAACCTCTACAGCAAATGTGGGATTCTGGTGTTGGGTTTGGTTTTTTTTCCTGTTGTAACTCAGAATTGCCTGCCTTCAAAGGAGAAGTTGTGGGGTCACAGTATCTTGGCATGGGATCTATTTTGTTTGCTCTACTAGGTTCTGTGGAAACTATAGTAGGCTGAGGTCTTAGAAGAACATCTCAACAGGTCTCTCTCTCCAGCCGTTTTCCACTCAACTCTTCTCTGGATAGTCCCTTCACACTAAAGATTGTTTCTCACTCAGACATCATCAGCATATATTTCCCCCTCTGTCACTGTATGTATGTAAGACTAATTCCTGGTCATGCCATGACCTTTAAACCCACCTTCAGTAGCAGGTACTCAGTGCTACCAGCTGCAGGACAGGTGTGGTGACAAAATAGGTGGAAAGTTTGACTATTTCATTTTAGTTGGAGTCTGCTTCATTTCAGAATTTTAACCTACCTCATCGTCTTCATTTTCCTGTCTTTATCACCTCTTACTTGAGCAGTTGCTCTCTTTAAAACATACCATCAAACAAAAAAACAAGTGCCCAAGCAACTAGCTAAAGCACTGCCTTGAGTGAGTCCATCAGTCTGTCTGCTGCTGAGTCGAGTGTCACCGTGAATTAAAACATTACACTACAGATCCAAAGTCTCTTGCACGTAAAAGGGAGGACTGTGAAAGTGGAAAGAGCTTTATCCTTCCCTAGAGACTGTTCAGGAAGGGAAGTGTGTGTTGCTCCTGAATTCAGGCCTGGCTGTCACTGTCTTCTGCCCTTGCCCTGGGCTGAGGGTGAGGAAGAGAGCTTTTACGCATCCCCAGTTGGCTGCGGAAAGCGGAGCTTCAGAGATAAGCTCTGGGATATCTTGGCATCCAAGTGAAAACACGTGGGACGGTGCGAGAGCTCAAGTTACAGTTGTTTAGATGTGACAACTCTTGAGGACATGGGGAAACCCGTCTCAAAATGCTTGGTGTTTCTCATGTTTTAAGTGGTCATCTCCACGGGGTCAGCCCTGTTCTCCATCAGCAAACAAGGAACATAACTGGGACACCCTGACAGTCACTTGGGTTTTAAAGTGAGAGCAGCTCCAAAGTAACTCGCGAGTGGTATTTTCTTGCCCTGACACTTACCAACATGGAATGCAAAGCAACGTTTTGCTGCAAGCACTCAGTCTTCAGGTGAATGAATGGTTAGCGTGAAGCTGTGACTGCAACATTTTTACCTTCTCCACTTCCTTGCGCTGAAGAGGAGATATGGTATGAATGACAACCAGGGCTGTCTCTACTACAGCAAGACATGGAGGTGTCTCTGCCCTCTCTGGGAGGAGATCAGGCGGGATTAGCGAGGGGCCCTTCCACAGCATCTGGCTCTGTGCTATGCGGATGTGCCATTAATTTAAAGTAGGAGGAGATGACCCATCCAATCTACCTCCCGTTGTTCCCTGGCACCATTCAGAGGTGCTAGGGAGCTTTTGCTCTTATTTCTGTACCCCTGAGGCTCCTCTTGCAGAGGCATCTGGTAAAATGTAATACCTCTGCCCTGCTCTGTCTCCATTCACCTCTAGTAGCTGGGAAAGGTTGACCCTTCTTGCCATCCTTGCTGGTCGTGGCTGTTGTGAATATGGTCTGGGTGCGCTGTGTCTATCTTGTTCCTTTTGGTCTTTCCAAAGCTGGTGATGGCCACCTTGTTTGCTGTAGTAGGAATGGGAATTCTTTGACTTGTTAGGCGAGTAATTTTTCATCCATTATAAAACACTCGCAGAAATCAGAAATGCTAAAGCGAAAAAAGAGATTTTCTTTGTTTCATTTAGATTTGTTTGTGCTGGTCTAGCCCCAGTAATTGTGGGGGATTAGTCCCTGTTTGTGGCAGCGCGAAGTACAGCACATGCCAGAACTGGGCCTGGTGTTTATGAGTTAGAACAAACACATTTATTAGTGTTTGACCTACTGGTCTATGAATGGACATCTGAATTGAAAATTAATTTGTTCTTTTAAGTAACTTTGTGCCAGGTCATTTAGAGTCTTACAAATAGTGGTGGCAAGACATTTCTCATGCCAGCTTGCAAAAGGTAATTAGAGCAGTCCCTCATATAGTTTACAATGATATTTATGAAAATTACCTTTGTGGAATTGCTCTTGCTGCCTGGTTGTAAAGAATATTTAAAGGGTTTAAAGTACTATGTGAGAGGCTTTAGGTAATTACTTCGCAGTGGTCCAAATGAGGTATAACTAATGAATTTACAATAGCATAGCAGCTCAGACTGTGGAGCTGCGTTCATTCCTCTCACTAGTCAGTGACAGGAAAATCGTGTTTGCCATATTATCAGCGTTAGGTTTAACAGAAATGTTATCCCACAAAATGTCAGGTTCTGTGATGGCTGTGGTGACATAGTCTGATCGCCTCGATCAGCTGGAAATGTGAAATCTCCAGGGATGTAGAAAACTTGTCAGAACGTAAGAGACTTGCCCCCTGTGTTTGGTAATGCTGTGGTCTTCTGGAGAACCTACCTGTGGAGAAGATCCGCCTGACCCAGTAGCCTACTTATTCCCTGACAGCTGCATATTTAAAAAAAGAAAAAAAAAAAAAAAAAAGCGCTAGGGAGGAAGATTTTAGTGCTGCAGAGTACTTCTCTGTTACATAATTAGCTCTTTGAGGGAACAATATCCCTCCCATTTGAATTAGAAGTCATTTTATAGCCTGATGGGTAAGAGCTTACAGCCCTCGGCAATGCTCTTGGGACTCTCTGTTGCTGATATTTACTGTCGGAACTGTGAGTGTTTGTTACCCACAGAAAAACATCTTTGAATCCTGTCAAACATAGCACGTGCCTGGGCATCTTCAAGTGCGGGGAGGGCAAAGTCCTCGGGTCTGTCTTCACCCAGACGTGTGGCTGCAGCCTCAGGGGATTCGGGCAGCGGGTAATGGGAACAGACTTGATTAGAGAAAAGTTCCTCCATGAGGGCTGCGATGGCGTGAAGAAGCTGGCGTGGAGCTGGATTTCTCAGCCAGCTCATTTCTTATGGGTGTTGTGGCAGACAAGAGCATGAAGGGGACCCTGAGTGAAGAACAGGTGGTAGCGACACACTGCTGCTTTCCATACATCATCTCTCTGAAGAGGTATGAAGATAGAGAAGCATGACTATTGCCCGTTTCCTTCAGCTGCACTTATGCAGGTTTACCCACTGACCTTGGGAATCTTTTATTTCTTGTCCTCCCTCCTGTCCTTTCTCGTTCCCTCTCACTCTCCTCTCTCACACTAGCTAGAGATTTATGAGGATGCTGGAGAGTTGCTCCACCTCTGCGGGGTGTGAGAAGATAAGAAGCTGCTCAGACAGCAGCACGTTTCCCCCACTGTCACCATTTCTCCCGCAGTACTTACACTGATCAATACTGAAAGCTTCAGCAGCAGAAGAAAAAACCCATATATATTTATTCTTAAAACATAAAAGTTGTATTCCAGCGAGGCTGTTCATTAGGAGGAAGTGGATACTTTAAAACTACTTCAGCAGTTCTCTAATGCTGTCTCGACAGCTGAATCCCAAGTTCACAGTGCTGGAGAATAAAGCATTAGGTAATGGACTGCTGCTGCTATTCATCTCCAGGTACAAGAGACTCACCCTATCTCCTCTAGTGCCAAGTTGAACAGTTTCGCTTCAATTCAGCTCTGAACAAGGAGAGGAATATGTTACCTTGCTGCTGCCTTCACCTGTTCCTTTTCCTTTGCTTCGATGAGCTGGTTTTCTTGTGTATTTCACAGTCTGTCTACGAGAGATTTTCTGGTTTATTAAAATTCTTTTTATTTTATTTTGCCCTCTCTAAACATGAAGCAGCAAAAGCTTTACTCAATCAAGAGCAATACTCATTCCTGTATACTCTTTAGATGTGGGGAGACCTTCTTAATTAGAAAAAGGAGGAAGGCAAAGTTTTCTGCCAGAGTGATGGGTATTTTCTTCTCTTAAATTCTGACAATAGCTGAGGAATCCTTGGAAAAGGTGTTCTAGCCAAAATTCACTCAGCATCAGACATGCTGTGAATAAATATTCCAGTTTCTCGCTTGCCATGTAGAGTCCTTTTGCTCCTGAGCCCTGCATCTGATTTGGGATCTGGGAGTGCAAGTATGTACGTTTGGCTTTTTTCCCCTTAGAAAATAAATTTCATGTTGCATTGGGACAAGAGGGGCAGTGCTTCTTGTTACGTCCTGCCATTACACCTCGAGGGCATTGGTACAGACTTATCTGGATCCTGCGGACAGTGTGCACATGTGTGTGCAAGCGCATGTGTTAAAGATCATGCCTTGGGCCCTTCTCTTAAAATGAATCTTCTGTCAAAACTAGCGAGGGCTGGAAATTTTATCACTCAGTACCATTAGGAGTAGGGCCTGCGTTGCTTCTGTACAATATTACTTGGACGTAACATCAAACCTTTTTGGGTAGTCAAATGTTGGCTTATTTGCATTGGACAAATATTTTTAGTGGAGCAAATAAATCTGTCCCTGGTTCAAAGGAGTTTAAGGCACCAGAATTGTAGAAACAGAACATAACTGGGTTTGTTTGGGTTTTTTTTTCTTTTTTTATCCCCACAGAGTGAATAAAGTCTCTACTGATAGAAATTACCATTTAATACTGCATTCTCTGGTGAAAATTTCTGGGGTTAGAACAGTCCTGGATACTCACTTAATGAACTTGCTTTTTTTTTCCCCCCATTGCTTCTGATCAATGGAGATACTGTTCCTTCCCATTCTTCAGGTGGGATCTGGGCAGATAATTTCTGGCCAATGATCCTCCCTAGAAAAGGGGATCTTGAAACACAAAGTCTTCCTGTCCTTCCTGGTTTCTGGAAACCACAGAGGTGTGCTTTGCTTCTGGTGGCCTGTGTGGTTGGCTTCATAGAGCCCGGCATCATCTTGGAGGTTGATTACGCTTCAAATAAAACACAGGCAGACACAATATTGAACTGTTTTTTCTTGTCAGGCTTTTAACTGTTTGATTAATTTTTAATTATCAGATGATAGAAAAGCTTTCCTCCGCCCAACCAAATTCAAAACATCTCAGCCAGGTGTTGGACTGAAGAAGCAAAACACGTGACGGTAGCTATTCACCCATAATGAGATTTCTTTCAGGGGAAACTTTTAAATGAGTACACAGATGTGTTGATCTAGTAACAGCAGGTAAAACGATAAGGGAGAGCATGTCAGAGCACATGACGGAGCACCGTCATGCACCACCTTTTGCACGCTGACACCCTTCTGCCCCACACAGCATCTGTTATTTTTTCAGGTCATAAAATAACTCACATAAATCCAACGCCGCTCAGCCCAGTGCAGGCTGGGTGTTTTGAAGCAACATGAAACTTGGGTTTTTCACTAAATTAAGCACTTGACAACTCACATTCACACAGTTTTCCTTGAACTCATAAAGATGAAAGGACTGCAGGACTCTGTTAATCTGGCTGTATTAACTGTGAGTAACTGTAACTTTTCCAGTTTCAGAATAAAAGATGTTTAAAAATCATTCTTACGCTCAAGGGAAACAGACAAGTTAGTCTACTTGGTTTAAAGTGTAATTTGGGTTTTATTTTTAGCACTGTGTTACTTTCAAATTACTTTCTTTTGGTTTGTCTCTGAAATAGTTGACCCATGTTTACCTTCAGATGTTTCAGTCCACAAGTGTGTAGTTTTCAACAGCAAGTAGTGTTACTTTGGGTCCTCAGTTTATTTTTAGACTACTCCTAGAAAGAAGATTTGTTAAGGCAAATGTTTTAATATTTTTCTGAAAACTTGTGAAGCTGGGCACCCAAAATGATGGGTGACTTTTTGATCGATCAGTGCCTGTCAGATATCTTCAGATTCTGATGCAGGAGCCGTCACTGAACTGGAAGGGGTTGCTTTGCGGTTATGCCGTGGTTCGCGTTTCTCCTGCCTGCTTCAAAAATGCTGGGAAGGTTGTCCTGGTAGCTCACAATGGTAAATCTGGCAGGTTGTGAAACCCACCTCCCTCATGAAGACGAGCACTCCCTGGCTGTGTTCTGCCTTTTCCACAGGTACACGCTGGCGGCGCAGGACCTGGTGATGCGAGCCAGGGGAGTGCTGAAGGACCGGGGCTGGCGAATATCCAATGACAGGCTGGGCTCTGGAGACGACATCTCTGTCTACGTCATCCCTTTAATACACGGGAACAAACAGTCGTGAAAGTAGCGTCAAGAACGGTTATAGGATGGGGATCTTTTTGGGAAGGGCCTGTAAGAGACAATATGTTTTTGGTGATCTGACCAGGACACTTCCAACTGATGTAATCTATTCAAAACTAATGCTGGAGGGGTATTCTTCTGCCCGAAAGGTAGGGCTCTGCACATATACTGTATATGATTAAAGATAACCCTTAAGATTACAAGTTCCCTATAGAAATGGTTTTGGTGCTTAACAGGAATGGGATTTAAATGCTGCTAGCATATTATGGATTCTGTCATCCCTCCAGGTGGGGAATTATTATCTTTTTTTTCTCAGTTTACCATGTAGCTTGGAAGAGCCGTTTCAGTTGTGAGAGTAGAAGTAGGTATCAGAAGCCAAGGAGGCTCCTGAAATCTACCCCCAAATATTCAGAAGGTGACTTGGGTCACATCTTATTTAAAAATACCTATATATATATACATATATGAGACTCAAGAGTTTTCTTCTTGCAAAAAGTTGCATTCATGACTTACTTATGGACAACTTCAAACTTGTATAATCCTTCGAACCCCCATTTTCCTCTCCTGTCTCTTCTTCAGTAGACTATACTCCTGTATTTTAGTAGGAAAACTGAAATTGTTTTCAGTGTGACTATGCCTGTTTACTGCAGCTAAAACAGCCACCTGCAAAATTGTCCAGGAGAAATAGCTCACAGTCCTGTATGGCGAGATTTATTCTGGTGTGAGGAGTTATTTGTCAAGATTCCCTGTTGTGTGTATACCATGATTATACAGAGCACGCAAACTCAGCTTTATGTGATGTTTACCTGGAGGCCGTGGTTTCTTTGGGATCAGAGATTTTCATTCACTGAGTGGTTCTGCCTGCTTTATCCTGTTGGAAGGATCCCTGACCATGCAGCTTTTGCATCAGTTGGGATTCAGTAAATTTATTTGGGCTCCCGAGTGGATTTTTAGTTGGATTCCTACTTGAAGCAGTAGTATTGTTCTCGTTATCAATTTGGATACCCAGATAGTGATCTATTTAAAAGTCTTTTCATTTCTTCCTGCCTCGCTTATTATTCAGTATACCTTTGCCTGCTCGACTCGGTGATCAGAAAGTGACAGCTTATAACTTTGTCCTCTTGGTATCGAGGACCGTAGTCAAGGATCAAAAGATCACCGTGATAGATACCATCCCTTGGCTAGCTTCAGCAGTTTTTTTTCTTAGCAGTGATGAATCAATTTAAATAAAGAAAATCTGAGTAAAACATTATCAGAGTGAAAGCGATAGTCCAAGAAGGAAAAAAGTGAGCCAATCTGCAGCCTAACCTGGCTGCCTGTTCTTCAAGCAGGCAGCTCTCTTACTTCATTGGCAGAAACTGAAGAAAAAACAAAATCAGGCAGCGTATAGGCAGGTGTATTGGCTGGGACGCCAAATTTAACCTGACTTGCCCCCAGTAGCACATTCTTTTGAAGCTGTGTGTCTAGGCTTGTACTTCTTGGGTAGCCAAAAGGTAGGGGGCTGACACAACTGTAGGGCACTGGCTGGGCAGCTCACGAGTGTTGTGTCCTTTCGGAAGGAGAAAGAGGATGCTGTGCCCTTTGCCGACTCTCTCCTGAACAGGCGTGGCCTGGAGCTTGCCAGTGTGCGGTGTAGCTGCCCAGGTGCTTTATTTGATTGCATCCAGAAGTACGTGTGCAACAGTCTCGGTGGATTTAAACTACCCTTGCTCTAAATCTCTAGACCCAGTAGGAGTTTCGGGTTGAGAGGGGGCAATGCAGAGTGTGTAACGGCTCAAAACGTGCAGCAAACTGCATGATTTTAGCCTGAAAACTGTTCCGTGTGTTCCCCAGTGCATGTGATAAAGCTGCGCAGAACACAGATGTTTTATATTCTAGAGCTTCAGCATAAATCAGTGGCATATCTGATCATGTGTTGTCATGCTTTATCTATTCTTTCTTTATTTTTTTCCTTTACCTCTTTTTCTGTATGCAGCTGGGTTAAAAGAGAGGTTTGGAGTCTTAAGTATTTTTCACATGGCCCCTCATATGTTTTAAATTTTAAGCAAGAGAAGATCTCTTGCACTTTTCTCTTTTTTTTCTTTTTTTTTTTTTTTTGGCCTAATAAACTTGTAAACATGCTTTTCATGCTCTGTGTAACTCCTGTTGTCTCTTCACAAATGCAGTTGTGTAGTCCTCTAGCAATTCAGATCCTCTTTCACAAAGAAACTAATGCCGGCAATTCTGGCTGAGTCGTCTGAACAGCAAAGAACCTGGTGCTGCTGGTACCGGCTACAACCCTGAGTCAACTATTTCAGTGCCCATGTGTTGTTAATCTTCATTATTTGGTAACATGGTGTCAACACACGTACCAGTCATTATAAAACCACTGAGTACAATGTGGTGGAAATAAATTGCCAGTGTAGCATTTGCCAAAATTTAAAAGTGTAATTTCAAGGCAATGGAAAATGCACCTTCTCATTCAGGGGCGTTTTTAAACATACCCCTGGAGAGATGGGTTAGCAGAGTGCATGCCTTGGTGGGAGCAAACTGGCTGGTGACTTCTCAGAGCAAAATCTCGTGGGCGCTGGTATGGCTTTGGGGATCGTCCTCCAATATGTCTGTTGGTCATATTGCTGTCAGTCACTCTGCTTCTCTGCAGCAGCTGTGCCCAGGTGGAGTTGTGTTAGCTATCGCACCCTCTCCTGGAAAGGGTGGAAGTACAGTATCAACAATTAATACCGATTAGCATCAATTAATAAATTTTGGGAACTTTAAAGGATAATAAAAAGCTTCCTACTCAGATACATGTGACTGAAACTATGTTGTGATGCTTTTTGTTTAGCTTTTTCATGAAGTATCTTATATAATTACATGCTTGCCTACCTAGAGCATCTCTGGTACATCTCTGATACACTGCGTTAGTACTTGGGCTTCCACTTCTATCTGCTTTCACTAGGAGCTTCCTACATGCCTGCACTGTGGTCTGTGCTCTGCTTCAAGGCATGGTATAAATGCATATACGCACCAAAGCCTCATGTAAATAGGAGGCAGGAGTCACTTCTTGGGGGAGGTATTGTGTGAGAAGCAAAAATAATTAACAGCATTTCTAATTTCCTTTATAGGTTGAATCATTTTGGGATTCACAACATTAGAAACCACTGATGGCAGGGAGGATCCCTGCTGCACCAAACCATTTTTCAGATAGGCAGAGGATGGGTATTGCCATGTGCAGACTTGCAGCTGGGGCTCAGCGAAGCGCCGGCGTTAGGAACAGACAGCTCACTGCCTCAAACTGGAGCAAGTTAGGTGCCAGCTCCTAATTTTAGATCCTTGGCATGTCATCTTAGTGCCTGATGCCAGCAGCAATATGGGGTTTTTTTGCCAGTGAAGTTCCCATAGTATCCAAAATTGTTTTGAGCTGTAGTTGCAAGGAACCTCAGTCCTGAGTTACATCTGTATTCATATTGCTCTTGCACAGTGCTGTCTCCTTGCCTATACCTACACAGGGCTTAGAAAGTCAGGCAGGTTCTTGTCCTTCCTTGGACAACGGCAAGGAGAGGAAATGGTACGCCATATATAGTTCAGGTTAGCCAACAGTGCAATGCAACACTGTCTTCTCGTGCCTGGTCCAAGTTCTAGAAACTCAAAACCAAGAAGCTTCTACCGTTCCCCCCTGAATACTGTTGCAGAAGGTAGCACAGCCTTTTCAGACATTTTTCTCTTGCACTACGGCCTAAAATCATCTTTAATTTGATGAAGGACAAAGAAATTCTGTTTACACCTTAAGTGAGGGACACAACTGTCTTTTGGTACATTAATGCAGTGATGCTTCCTTCATGAATGTGAAAGTGTGTTGTCTGAGGGGGCTGATGTTCAGTGCCCTCAGGCTGGAGAGAGAGAGAAGTTTATTTCATAAATTCTAAAAAACAACAGGGCTAACAAGGTGGTCAGTCTGCTGTTAGCAGTGGATTTCCATATTAAAGTTCCTTCCATGTTAAAATCTGACAAGAGAGGTCTGGGAGGTGGGGTTGACTCTGTGCCTCCAGGATATTTTTGAAAAACTGTACTTGATGTTTGGGCAGATTTTGGCTTTGAACTTTTGCTAGGTTTTTAAAGAACACTACATGCTCCAAGCACATCATCTGTGTTTCTTCCTGCCTCAGTGTTTTGCTTTTATTTTACATTTTATGTACAAATACTTTCAAGATTTTTGTGTCAAACATGAATTGCAAACTGTGTGGAATTGTTGGTTCTCCCCAATGTTTTTTGGTGTGTAAATAGTTCTCCTCCACGTGTCTTAGATGAAGACATAGTGATGTGGCTACCAGAGAGTGACCAAATGATGTTGTAACTGTGCTGCTGTATTTCTACCTGTGATGTACTTGAAGGAGGATGCCCTTGTCCACCTCCACTCTCATTCTTTTTTTCTTTGTCTTGTTTGGTTTTGTTTGGTTGATTTATTTTTTTTTAACCATTGCTGGTGGTGTTCTTTCATAGGTGTCTTATTTTGGTTTGGGATTTAATAGCCACCACCTTTTTCTTTCCTTCATTGGACAAGTCATCTTGTTTTGAGATCTGTACAACTGTCTGGATTTTGTATGTCCTGAAGAATGGAAGACCTGCTGGAGGAAGATGTTTTGGACCAATGTACTTCTGCTTTGTGACTGTGAAATGTTGATCTTTTTGTAACCCAAGAACAAAAAATGTTTAGTAAAGGGATATATTTTGTGTTTTTTGAAACTTTTCAGTGCAATGAACAAAAGAGGAGGATGCTGAAGAAGTGTATGCGCAAAGTTTTAAAATAAAATTTTAAATTATATATTATATATATCCATCTATATCAATAACCATTATTATTCTGCCTTTGTCCTGAAGACTACCTAAGTCTCTTTGTGGGTATTCCTAATTGTGCAATACGGACAAGTAGCACACTGCTTTACAAGGGCATGGATGATTCACTGACAAAAGGTCTCACTCTTGATTTAAAGAAGTAAATCCCTATGAGGTGCATTAGCGTAT